AACTGACCCCTGCAAATGCAATGAGCAGAGGGAGCCCTGGGCCTGGGTGTCGGGGAAACGAGCCGGGGGCACAGGGTGGAGGCCGAGGGAGGGAAGCCCAAGCTGGAGTCCTGAGCCCTGGGGTCTGTCATTTATTCAAAAGATAATTAGAGAACCAGTCAGAAGCTTAAGAAAAAAAAAAACAAAACTACATGTTTGTATGCACAAAGAAAACTGTGCAAAGAGGAAGGATAAGGGAGATTTGTGTTCTGCCGACTGGTCTGATTTCCAGAAAATATATTCAGGTTTCTCTGTATAATTAAAGATGTTGAAGAAGAAGGGAAGGGAGGGAGGGAGGGAGAGGGAGGGAGGGCTTGTGGCCGTGAGCTGGTTATTTTGCCTCTCTGGGCCTCCGTTTCTCTGTCAGTAAAATGGGGGGAGATAACACTAAAAACAATTAAGTTCCATTTGGTAGAGTTTTTGAAAGTTTCAGTTAAGAAAAAGTAAGCACAGCACTTAACCCCTGAGCTTGGACCCTACTAATAAAAATACCAGCAGCTAAGTATCGGTGAGTGCCGAGGAGGGTCCCTGGGTCATTTACAAATAGTCTCGTAGCTTTGGAGTTGGCTGCTAGTGACCCCGGGTAGATGGACAGGGCCCCCGTACCGCCTCCCTGCACCCCTGGAAATCTGTCTCCGTAGGGTCCGATCCCTCCAGGTTTTGGGGAGTGGCCCCTACCCCTGAGACCCTCTCCCGAGCAGCCCTGGATGCAGTGGGAGAGCGGATGGCCAGAGCCAGCCTGCAGGAAAGCTGGGCCTCGCTCCAGAGTGTCCCCAGGAAAACAGCCACCGTGCCTGGTGGACTCTGGCCCACCTGCAAATGAGTCCCTGTATGGCCAGTGGGAATGTTACCGAGGAGCTGCCGAAAGGCCACGGCCTTGTCCCCCTGGGACTCCACTGCCAGCTGTGCAGCAGATGTGGGCTTGTTGCAGGCAGAGCCCCGCCCCGTGAAGGATGGAGGGAGGCGGACACAGGCGAGTCAACCACAGTCCTCACGCAGACCACACGTCATGTGCACCGGCTTGGAAAACACACGCTGCCAGGTAAAGCCAAGGGATGTGACCTGGCTTAGCTAGGTGAGGGGCATTTCCCAGAGGAGGAGAGAGCTTCCCCACCTGTCCGTGAGGACATGGCGCGGAGCAATGGCAGGACGGAGTCAAGCAAAGGGGCGCCCCTGGAGGGTGGGAGCCAGGTGGGAGGCAGGAAGGGGCTGCGGGTGGGCTGGGGAGAGGTGAAATGACCCGAGGAAGCAGAGAGGGTGGGTCTCCGCTCCAGGCCACTGTCCCACCCGCTGTCCGGCGACAGCTCTTGCCCAGGCCCGTACTCAAGGGAAAATCAAGATTCCCAAGAGCAGATACGCTGTTGCGGGTTATTCACAGGAAGGGCTGCGGCACAGCCGGACACGAGAGGGGCCATCTTCACATCAGCACGGATCTCAGCAGCATGAGGCTGAGTGAGAAGCAGTTTGCAATGGACGCACACCGGTAGGTACATGATAGCCTTACGCAGCAGTCAGCTGCAGCCTCAGGTCGTTACAAAGACACCTCTGCACACCGGCACAATATAAAAAATATTTTGCGAACCTCAGCATGTTGAATAATAGCGAAGACTTTCTGGGGAAAATACAGGTTTTCAAAATTAGAGATATGCAGAGAGAGCTCAGTGACAAAAGGATTTAGAGTTTTGCTGGTAGCTCTCTCCCTGCCTACCAGGCGTGCCCAGGGCTCGGGCTTCCCGGAAGCATCTGGAAGGGTGTAAGCTCCAAGCATGGGGTGCTGGGGTGCTTGCTGCTGGCCCGCCCCCGGGCCACAAGCTGAGACGTGACTCTGCCCTCATCCTCCTAAGGAGCAGGTCTTTTTCCATTTTCTAAACACATAATCATAACTTCTGTGGATAATGACATCATTAATAATAAATAAAGGTAATAAAGAAGCATCATTATTTAGAATCTGCTTACGGGCAAACATTCAGGAAGCTGGTAAAAGTCCACGCCTGTGCAGCCCGCCAACTGCAGGACCCACCGTGCCTTGACCGCCCCACCCCGCCACGACCCCCCTTCAACCCTCCCCGGCTCCCCAGCATTCTCCTGGGGTTCTGGGACTTGCCGGTGGGCCTCAGCGTCTTCTGAGCTTACACTCCACCCCTCCCCACCCAGCCCCTCCGGGGTCTGGCTCTGCCTGCGGGAGGCTGATATCGGCTGATATCCCAGGTGGCCCCAGAAAGCCGCAGTCTTGGAGTTGGCTACTCACCCACCAGCCCCGAAGCCTCAGTGACCGTCTTAGTGACGAGGGCTGTGCTGACGCCCGCAGAGGCGGACAGGCAAGGCTTTCACCTGCGCTTCCCTTGGGTCAGCCGCAGCTGGAAAGCGAGGCCCCTGTGACTTGGACACTAGGGTAACTTTCTTTCTTTAAAGATTTATTTATTTATGCATACAAGAGGCCAGAGGTGGGGGCGGGGGCTGGCGAGAATATGGTGAGAGAATTTCCCAGAGTGGGGAGCAAGCAGGTGGAGTGACTGAAATCCACTGCTGAGGGGGCAGCGGGGAGACAGGAGCGGTCTGCTGCGCCCTGGGGGTCACCCCCTGGCCGGGCTCCAACTCATGCTGCAGGGGCTGTTGATAGCTTCGTAGTGCTGAGAGTCACCCCTGCGCCACCAGGGAGGCCCCGCGATGGCCATGTGGAGGAGGGGGCAGAGGAAGGGGAGCACGGGCTGTAAAGACAGCCTGGGGACCTTCCGAGGGCAGCAGTGGTCAAACCCAGGCGCGCACTGAAAGCGCAGATGAGAGGTTTAGCTCTCCAAGTGGCTGAGTGCTGTTTCTTGTACCCGGCGCCCGTGGCGGGGGCACGCACGGTTAGCGTGGTGAGATGTTCCTGACGCCTTGAGCCTCTCGCTGGCACGCAGCACCTTGCCTGCTCTCCTAACACTTGTCTCTGGACATGCGCTTGGCCTGTTTTTCTAGGATCATACCAGCTTTTCATGCTCTCTGTTGGTAGGTCAGCTTTAGTCTCACGCGTCCTCATCTGAATCTTTAAAGTGTGCTTCTTGTGAAGAACACATTACAGCTTGGCTCTTCACCCCGCCTGCCAATCTTGGCCTTTTTTTTTTCTTTTTTAGATTTATTTACTTATGTATACAAAAGCTGGGGTGCAAGCCAGAGGTGCAGGGTGAGAGGATCCCCCAGAGACAGATTGGGAGCAGAACAGGTGGATCGACTGAGATGCACTGCTGAGGGGAGCAGCGGGGAGACAGGAGGGGTCTGCTGGACCCTGTGGGTCCCCCCCACCCCCGGCCAGGGCCCACTCTTGTTGCAGCGCCTGCGGCCAGCTTCAGAGTGCTGAGACTCACCCCTCCTGCCATCGGGAGGCCCCCATCTTTGCCTTTTAAAGGAGATGTTCAGGTTAGCCATTTTAAACATTTATCTTTTCATTACTTAAATGTGCTCTTCATACTGAGATTCCTCCCTTCTTACACAAAAGGTAACATGCTCTGGGCATGGCACTGTGCTCACCCCCCACTAACTGTTCTGCAGACCAACCCAGCAGCTCATGGTCAGCTTCGCTCTTCTCTTTAGAGATGCAGATGGCCATTGTCTGAACGTGCCCATGTTCATTCAACCCACCCCTACTGATAGCGCCTTTTTTCTGAAGGCCAGATTTTTTTCACAGTTATTTTTATTGAAATATTTTAACAAAATGATGCAATTCAACAACAGTATTGTAACCTTTTTTTCCAGAGAAAATTACTGCAAGTATATTTAGTATTCCTATTTTTGAAAGGAAAAAGTGAAAACATTGTTTCTTATTTCTTATCATGACAAATCGTGTTCATTCTAAAATAAAGCAACTTTAAATATTTCTGCCTCCACCTCATCCCTCTCTTTGGAGTAAGGAGTCTTTAAGAATAGACTCCTTTTACAAATAGATGGCCACAAAAGAAAAAAGGGGAACAATGCTGGAAAAGAAGGCATAATACTGATGGCCTTTGGGGCCAGGCAAATGCATTACAAAGAGGTTTCAGGGAGCAGCCTTGTGCATGTTGGCGTCTCCTTTCTCGAGCAGGAGTGGTCTCACAGCCTGCTGGCAGAGTGCTTGCTGGTCAGAGCACACAAACACTTGTCACTTTGCTCCCCTTCTGTCGCTTGCCCCTCTTTGCCTTTCATAGAGGAGGTTTCTGCCGGGGAGGGGGCCTCAGGGAGCGTCAGGGGCTGCTGCCATCATTCTGGGCCCTACAATGCCAGAGCATAGAATTATTCTCCTTGGAACATTCTCTTTCTTTACAGATTGATGGCTTGCCTTTCCGGAGCATGGATTGTTCCCACGTGTCTTCACGTGTGAGGCGGTGGTCAGGGGAGAGGAGGTGAGCCCACTCACT